TGAGATAGAATTGTGAATATATATGTGTGTGTGTGTGTGTGTGTGTGTGTGTGTGTGTGTATCTTTGTCATTGTACTTAAATACAACAAAATTGGTTTTATCTATCCATCTATTTGTCTGTCTATCTATCTATCTATCTATCTATCTATCTATCTATCTATCTATCTATCTATCTCATCATTTCATAGGCAGAGTCATGCTCAATTCAACCTTTTCTTCTGTTAATAATCAAAGTAAATAAATATATTTTATAGTATTTCATTTTAATAAAAAACACTTGTCAGTAATCCAGGACCTTTATTTAAAGGCCCACTTTATGTTTCCATTTTGTGTTTTTCATAACAAAAAAGCTGAAATAGGTTGAATAATTAGTAAGTGAAACTATTATACAAAACCATCTGTTTTATAAAAATAATACAAAAATCCATTTTAAAATATGCAGTCCAAAATCAGATAGAAAGAATATGGACTTAATAATGACAAACACTTTGCTCAATCATAGAGGGAGGTATGGCAAGTGAAGACAATATGTATCATTTCAAAATGTAATAATCATATTGTATTAAATTGAATGCAAAAATATATATTAGTGTAACAATTTTATTATGCTAACTCAGGGTTATAAATCCAGTGACTTAGTTCACATAATGTGGTAAGACAGCATGCTTAATAAAATCCTTAGTAGAAGAATTCACAGTTAATACTAAATCAAAACGAGGAATCCAGGAAAGACATAATTGTTTGATTTTTTTGACAGTGTGATGAGATAAGTATACTATGAGTAAACTCTTAAGCAAAGCAAAAAAGAGAAAGGGAGGAGAAAGAAAACAATAACTGATATTCAGGCTATAAGAAGAAAAATGGGAGTCAGTAGAAACATTTAATTAAGTTTTATCAGCTGCTGAGATAGTTTCAGGTTGTACCAAAGCTTTCCCTTGAGCTGTAAGAATGAGAAATAAACATGATTGTTTTTAATCTTCTTCCCCTTCCCAATTATTAAATTATAAAATTCAGCTGTTAACTTTAACCTGTTTCAATATTTAAGCAAAGCACATCAGACCTTTGATAGGTGGGAAACTAAAGTATGGAGAAGTTAAATATTGTTTTATTTTAAAGAAAATCATATTAAATTATGTGACAGGTAAAAACAAAACAAAAAGTCAACAGAAGCCCCATCAAGTATCCTAATACTAAAAGAAAAATAGTAAAAAAAAAAAAATTGTTAACCCTCCCCGCCTTGGAAATCTGGCTGGTCCTAATCTGGTTAGGCTTTAGTAAAGCACTGAAGACCTGGCTAGTCCCCCAGATGTTGAGGCCTGGAAAGTAAATGAAATCTGAGAATTATGTTTTTGTACACTGGGATTACTGTTTTGACACTGGCCATTATGGTTTAAGACTCTTAAAATCACTGTTGAGAGATGAGCATCTTATTAAATCATATAAATAAATAAAGGTTCATCTCATTGCTGAATTGCTAAACCTAGTCCTGTTGAAATCACAGTATGCAAATGAATGACAAGAAAAACCTAGCTGAAATTAAGAGTTTTGTTTAAGTCAATTTAAGATTGTGAAGGAGAAACTTTCAAGTATTTAAGAATTATCCCTCAAATATGATAACAAAGGAAGAAAAAGATAACAGTTGGCTTATAACCACAACTGGACCCCAACTTGTTTCCATTGCTAAACAAGACAGTTAAGTGAGCTTTGCCCTGATTTATGACATTTCTTGCCACAAGTGAATCAGTATAGTTGTTAGGTTAGTAACATGAGTGTTAAGTGAATCTGGCTTCCCCATTGACTTTGTTTGTCAGAAGGTCCTAACAGGTGATCACTTGACCCCAAGGCACTGCAACCATCATAAATTCAAGCCATGTATGTAAAGAAGGAGGATTTTTATGTTTGTTTTGGAAATAATTTTTTTATTAAAAAAAAAGTGCCACAATTTCCTTGCACGCTTACCTGAAGGTAAGCCTCACTGACTTTATTTTATGTATTTATTTCATCAAGCATGAATTAGATAACATATAAGTATAAACATTGATTATTTATTTATTTATTTGTCAACAAGTACAAGGAAACAAGTATGAAAACACATGAAAAAAATAGCACAAATAAATAGATATAAATAAGCAAAACATAGCCATATACACATTAAAACAGTACGTTTAAATGGGGACAGTAGGACAGGGCCCTTAGGCATGCCCTCTTAGGAACTTCTTAAGATACATGTAAGATCCACTGTAAAAGGTATGAGGGTTAGAGGAACTAACAAAGGGATCAGGTAAGATGTTCAACACATTTACTACTCTATTGCTGAAATCGTTTTTCCTGCAATCAAGATTAGAACGGATTACATTTAGTTTGTATCTATTGATAGCCTTTGCGTTATTGCAGTTGAGGTAAAAGTAGTCATTAGCAGGTAGGACATTATGGCAGATTATCTTGTACAGTAAGCTCAAGTCGGAACTTATTATGATTATGAATACAGGACATGAATACACATTTTATTGTAAAATAAAATTCTAAAACAATTATTTTATTGTAAAATAAAATTGTAAGTAAGCCTCAGCGGGATTTGTTGCCAAGTAAACAATTTTGGCACTGATACTAACTACTGAGTAAAACTGAACAGGAGTCACTTCTCAGTGAATGGAGTCCAATTCCATCCATATTCGTTCAATGTATTTTTGAAGAAAGGGGCTAAAACCTTGGAGACCCTGAGGACGAGTAGCGTCAGAACTGGTATAATTATATCGTTTTATACTTCATTAAAAAACTGCACTCCGTGACTTTTAAAACACGAATAATTAACTTTAAAATATCTGAAGGATTCCCCATCCTAAAAAACAACCTCGTGGAGAAAGTATAGCGCGGAGCGCGGAAGGAAAGCGGGACGGCGTGTGGAACCGTTGTTCCCCTGCTTGAGAACGGGGCCACCGACCCTTCAGAGCATCCACTCCCTCCCACATCCTTTTTTCTATTTCTTGTTTGTCCAGCGCCACGGCGACCAGGTCGGGCGAAAGGAGGAGGCGGTCCTTCCTCGTCGGTTTATTCATTTCGCCGAGCTCCGCGCTCCGCCTCGGCGAGGCCTCTGACCCGGATGCGCTTTGCTTTTCCTCGGCCTTCCTATGCGGGACGGCGGCGGCGGCAGCGAGGGCGCTGCTACCGGTCGTAAGTTACGGTGGCGGCAGCAGCCCGAAGATGGCCGAGTCCCCGGAGGAGGTGGCCGTGCTGGTGCAGCGGGTGGTGAAGGACATCAACAGCGCCTTCAAGCGCAATCCGCACATGTGAGTCAAAGGAGAGCGAGGGCGGGCGGGCACTCGGCGAAGGAACGCGGGACGCGCCGTCTCGCCCCGCGGCTCCCTTTTTAACGCTTTGCTTCGCCTTGAGGAGGAGGAGGCTGCAGCCCCCTTGCCTCTCCTGGACGGGGAGGCCTTGCGGGGCTCGGCTGGGTTGTCTGGGAGTGCACCGAGGGGACGAGGCCGGGTTAAAAAAACAAAACAAAACACTCCCTTCCTTCTCTCTCTTTTCGAGAGGCGCCGAGTGGAGGGGGGCGAGTTGAACTTCTATGGCTGGACGAGAGAGTAACTTCAAAGTAGAGGCTGAAGGTGGAGGACGAGCTTTGAAGTTCCCGGGGATCTTGTCCGTTTACGGAATGGAACTCGTGGTCTTTGCATGTGTTTAGGCGAGGGCGTGTATTATATATGTATATATAACCCGGGGTTCAGTGGAACGGCTGGGGAGACGTCGGGTCTGCCGGAGAGGAAAAGTTGAACATGGGAATCGGTGGATTTGTTACTGGCTAACTTTGAAAGTTTGCCTGTCCGCGCTGTGGTTTAGGGAAGATAATGTTGCTTTTTCATTTTTCAAAGGGGATGGTAAGACTTTCCGTTCCAAGCTCTTCATCTTAAACTCCAACGTTCTCAGCTAAATTCCAAAGAATCATCTTGTTTCTTAAGGTGTCTCCCGGGAGGTTCCATAGGTTAATGGTCACCACGGTGTCTATTTTTAACATCGCTGTTCGCTCTAGTTTTGCAATAGTCCCTTCTAAATAGGATTTGATGTTCACTCAGTACTTTCAGACCATTCCTCGGTCCCAGAATCGAAGAAATTGGGAGATTAGGATGAAAGCGAAGAGAAGGAAGCTGCTAGTTTCAGAGTTTTTCCCAGGAGTGGGATGTTCCAAAATGCTCCAGGTTTGTGGCTGGTGCATGCATTTGTGAGAACTGGCCTTCCAAAACAAGATGCAATATGTGTCCATAACAAGAAGACCATCATCCTGTTTTAGAATACAGTGTACGTGTTTGAAAATGCATCTATTACCACTCAGATTGACCTGTTCCAGGTGAAAAATTATTCAAGTAACAAAGAGCCTATTTTGAATATACTTAAAATAATATATCGTTAGTGAAAATACCTTGTTGATATGTGCTGCCTTACAGGTCAAAATTTTAAAGGTTATATCCCACACCCTGTTTTTGATGTTTTTGAGTTCTTGAATCCCGTCAACTGCCTGGAGAACACATTTTCTTGGCAATATTTTTTGGAAGTGGTTTGCCTGTTTCCTAGGACTCAGAATTCCCCAGCCAACCTTGGCAATTGCTTCAAATATGTGTTTCATTTCCCTTTTATCTCCCTTAATGTTGCCAAATATTGTAAATATTCTAGTCCTTTATCTTCTTGCACATATGCCCAAAGTATATGACTTTCTCTTTTCTGATCATCCATTTGTGGGAGCAGTCAGTCCTTACTTGGGCTGGGATCATTATATTGATTCTTACAATCCACATCACTTGTAGTGATATTTGTCCAGATCATAATTCAGAGAAGTACATTTTCTTCCTGGTTCTTTATCTTCCGTTTTCACAGCTGTCTTTTAACACTAGACAAGATGCTACTATAACTATTCTAATATTAGTTTTCATGAGAATATCCATATCGTTTATGCATTTGCCTAAGTTTACCATTGCCACCTTCTCCAGATTTTTACTCTCTTCTCCAGGACACTATTCAATTTTATCTCTTCTGGGATGAAGAAAACAAAACCATCTATATTGTCTTCACTTCTTCACTGTTAACTGTGAGTTCACTGAGCATGATAGTTGACATTATCTTTGGCTTTTAATAATAACACAGGTTTTTCAATTTGCATTTTTGTTTCACAATGTGCTACTTTGAACTTTTTCACATAACTCTTCTTTACATTCAGCTAATATTGCCTGAATATTTCATATTTCTCCTGTGTGCTGCTTAGAGAGTCCAAGCATGAGTTAAATACAGTCTATCTGTCCTAGGACTGAGTAGATTTTTCCTTAACCACGCCTCCTTTGCCTCATTGAGGTCAGTTTAAAAACTCAATCCGCCCGTTAGGACTAAATTTGGGGAGATCCTCAGTTTTAAATCAGATAGACTGGAGTCTCCAAATAGAACACAGTGAATTTAGACTTTTTAATTTTTGTATAGATTGTCGCACAGCATAGATTAGGCTTTATAGGAAGATTCAGTTGATTCCAAACCTGGTGAGGTGGCTGTCAGGGCTCCTTGGAGCTGCCGTCACAAGCAGCATGTGGCGTAGTGGAGGTGCTTGTCTGGCGGCTGCCGGCAAGCACTGGGGCAGCAGGATGCTTCCTGTCCGTTTAACAGCCGCATTTGTTTCCCTTTATAAACTCTGGTTGCTCTTTTAGAGCTCCGGAGGTGTTGGCAATTTCTCCTCAGCCCAACAAGTGTGACGGCCATTTTGAAAGAGTTTTGCACACTTTCTGAAGCTGCAAAGGGAGACGTTCGGCTCAAAAAGCGGCGGCGTGTGGCAGTAGCCATTTTAAGTGCCTTTTCTTGCCGAATCATTGTCGGAAGACTCAAAAACCACCGTGTCTTTGCGCTAAAGCCCCTCAGCCACAGATCGCTGCCAGGGAGACTCTGACCTTGTCCGGGGTGCCGGCAAGGTCTACCTCCCTGCAGCACAGTCAGGGACCCACTGAGTGCGGCCTTAGGAGTTGTGGCTACTTAGGTCACTCCCCTATAACTGTTGATCTGCAGGCATAGCGGATCCTGCCGGCCTACTCTTGGTGCCACGCTACTGCTACAGCCTCTTCTCTCCATTGGAGGACGACCTATTGATCTGCAAGTCTCCATGGCAGACAGAGGTTTGGAGGCGCAGGAGGAGATGGCAGGGCCCTCCATCACAAGGGGGGAAGGGATGGAAAGGCACCATAGGGAAGGAATCCCAGGGACCCTCAGGCAGTAAAATCACCCCCAGGGAGGATTCCAGGAGGCACAAGCCCGTTGCAAAACTGCAGAGAAAGCAAGAGGGCAGACCAGATCACCCGAGCAGAGGGCTCCCTTGCCTGACTCGTTTATTAATCAGATGAGGGAGGCAGAACCGGATGTCCTCAGGGAGATAGCTCCCCATCGATGGTAGAGGAGGTGTTACGGGATTCTTCACCTGAGGCCTCCTGGGGATACCCTGACTCCCCTAGTTCTTCCATTCAGGAGCCCTTTCAATATTTCTCCCCCCAGGAGGAGGACACACGTTCGAGCAGGGCTAAAGGCAGGTCTACACCTTCTAGGGCTCGGCCTAAAGAAGACAAGGGCCCTGCCTTGTCTGCAGAGATAAGGGAAGTCATTGTCATAGCCATCTCGCAGGGTATAGCTGAGGGTATCCGCCAGAAGGATGCTCGAGCCTCTGGTTCTTCCAAGTCATGGCCACACACAGGACAGAGACCGTGCCCTGGCTTCTCCTGGCACCTCAATTGCCACGGAGGGATCTGTCTCAGAGGAGGAGGAGGGATTTGAGTTATCGGAGAATGAGGACCTTCCTCCCGATAAACCCGTCTTCACCGGCCGGGATGTATTTAAACCATCCCTATTCAAGGTCATCCTCCACAAGGCTAAGGCCTCGACTGAGTTAGGAGCCAAGCCCAACGATAAGGCCATTCCCTCTACCTCTCAGGACCCCAAGGAGGGTCTATTTAAGGAGAATGCCCAATTCAGGAACTGATTCCGGTTCCTGATCTTTTTATGGACGTTGTCCAATGCCAGTGGGCACAGCCAGGTACCCTGGCCAACCTGAGTGTGGGAGATAAAGACTAGAATGGACAGCATCTTGAAATTGCCGGAAGTAGATGCTCCAGTAATTTCATTAACTTCTAATTCAGCTCTGCAGGTGGACCTTCTAGAACAGTGTTTCTCAATCTTGGCAACTTTAAGTCCTGTGGACTTCAACTCCCAGAATCCCCCAGCCAGCTCTCGCTGGCTGGGGAATTCTGGGAGTTGAA